AGCGGGCCACGGTAAAATTATCAAAGGCTGACTGGTCCGCGGCGATAAAAAGGTTGGGGACCACTGGCTTAGCTGATTGCTTTAAAGCCTGTTAGTGAAAGTAAAAAAAACTAAGAAACTGTTGCTCTTGTTATCTGCTTCCAAGCCTCATGAGAAAGCTCCGAAGGAAAGGTAGGGCCAGGAAAACAGAAACGGGGGGTCTGATATGTAGGGCACCTATCCTGTATATATATTTTCTAGGTCCGGGAAAAGGAAGACTGGATCTGTTGTATCTTTTCTATCTACTCTTCAAATGCACAATACGAGAGCTGATCATAGTGCATGAATGCCTGGTAGCAGGAGATAGTGGAAGATAGATATCCAGCACCTAGATTTATTTATGTAAAATAAAAAATCATAAATAAACTTGAAGAGTATAGACTGAGTTTTTCTTATGAGTCATTAGAAGGAGGACTGCTGTCAATTTTATCTTTTATACTCATAACATCCTATTGCTGTGAGTAAAACTAGAAAAACAAATGTAAGTTAAGTGACTGAGGTAATGAATTTTATTATAGAACATGCATGATAGAAAAAGACACTTTGAGTGGGTGGAATGAAGAAAAAAATGATGCTTCTATGATGGAAGCGTTTGAAAAACAGCAATGCTCTGAGAGTTCAGAAGTAGAGACTAAAGGAAATAGCTTTTACATGGATGGCAAGAAGGCTATGATAGGATTGTCCTTGTTTAGTGACTGCCTTCTACATGGACTGTTCACAATTATGATGCTGATGAAAAAGTAATGTTATCAATCCTAACATTTATGACCTTAGCAGGTCTATAAAGCAAATAAAAACTGAAGCAAGACCATACTGTAAGTATAGTTTCAGTTACCAACTACTTTGCTTAACGATTGAGTTGCCAGTCCCAATTGTGGCCACTAAACAATGACTACTTTCAGTCTATATCATAAAAGATAAGCTAGAGGGGGAAAAAACTATTATTTCCTTAGAAATGTAGAGTTCTGTTGAAGTTCAATGGGGTACACAATAGGGTTATTTTCTATTGAGGTTTGGAGTTGAAACTAGAACTACATTTGCAACTGTCAGTCTCACTTTGGATACTTTTATTGGAAAAACAACAATTATTAATTTGATTAGGTGCTACCAGCTTGTTGCAAATTTTTTCCCTAGTCCTTCAGGTCTTCCAATGGTGCCTTCATTGCCACTGTAACAGAGTCCATTTATCTTGCCTATTTCTCATTTTCTCTTTCCTCCTCCTCCTCCTTCTTCCAGCATTAGAGCCTTCTCTGGAGAGCTAGTTCTTTGCATACTGTGTTCGAAGTAGGATAATTTGACATTTGGTCATGTGTTACTCAAAAGAGACAATTTTGTATATGTTCTTGGCTGTCCGTGGTATTCTCAGGAACCTCATCCAGCACCGTTGCAGCGTTCCTGCAATCACATGAACAAAATTTCCCCGTCTGCATTGCTACTGTCCTTTGGCTGCCTGTCTACCTGCTGCTGTCAGCGGCCCCCATCACCCAGCCCAGCCCCCAGTCAGGCCATCTTCTCTCATGCCATCTAACCTTTCAGGGGTGCAGCTTCTCTTGCATGCCAGTCAGGGCCTCCACTTGTGCGATGACCAGGCCCTCCATTCAGACCCACTCTGGGCCCTTGTTCATATGCCAGCCAAGGCTTTCTTCCACATGCGGTTGCAAAAGAAGGCTTAAATTAGAAGGAGGCGCCTGGTTCCCTGCCCTTGGTCCACGGACTGGCACTGATCCATAGCATGCCAGAAACTGGGCCATGCAAACAAGGGAAGCCCCCTCCGCTGAAACCACACTCCCTCCGGTCCAATTTTTTGACAACTAATTTGTAAGCTCCACAAATAATCCAAATGAGATTATAGGGGTTTTTTTTGTCTTTTGTTTTGAAGTGCTAGTGATATTAACAATATTAGAAAGCAATTATCAGTGTTCTCCAGTATTGCAGTATTATAACTAACAATAACTGTAAAGCAAAGTAGATATTATTTATTTAAGAAAAAGTTATTCCACTAATATTAAATTCATTTATAAACAATTATTTATATTGTTGATTTACGCATATTCTTTTTGTTATTTTTCAGTTTATTATCTTTGAATACAGAGCTGCTAGACTTTCTGGCTTTATCAAAGTTAACTAACAAATGGAAGAAAAGTGGTATTATACAGAAAACAATGGCAGTGGAGATAACCGTCAAAATACTCAAAGGCGGAGTGATTCAGTTTCTAGTTCATCAAGGCGCATCCACCGAGCTCTTGAAAAACTGGTATCTAATTCAGCGGTCTCTCTGGATCTAAGTCGAAAAGATCTACAACATCTTACTGCAGAAATGTATAGATTATTTAACCTTAGAGTAAGTCTTTCACTGTTAACATACCTAATTAAAGGATAGCTGAAAAAAATAGATGCTTTCCCACTTGAGATTCCCACTATATACAAATTACATTTTAAGATTACTATATCCTTGATAATCCTTTAAAAATTACTTAAATAATTTTAACGCTTGTTATCGTTTTGGGAAAAATCATTAGTCTCAAATAATTTGCTAAGGATAGGCTACTCATCTCTCTCTCTCTCTCTCTCTTCCACCCTCCCTCTTGACTCTCATTTTAGTATTTACATCTGGAAGGAAATTCCCTTTGTGTAATTCCTGAAGATTTTTTTCAGAGTCTGTCAAATCTTACTTGGCTAGATCTGCGCTATAATAAGTTGAAAGAGCTTCCTTCTGGGATTGGATGCCACAAGTAAGTTTTCTGCTATATAATATGTCTATTGTTTTTTTTTTAAAGGAAGTTGTTCATGTAGATATCATGTATCTACTACTCAATACATTGAATAGTAGTACCATGTATGATTAAATATTAACCCTAATTATAATCAAAAGAACAAAATACAGGTAGCCTTCGACTTACAATAGCTACATGGTCACATGATCCAAATTTGGGTGCTTGGCAACTGGTTCATATTTATGACAGTTAAAGTATACTGGAGTTATGTTTTGCAACCTTCTTACAAAGTCAAAGGGGAAGACAGATTCATTTAACAACCATGTTACTAACTTAACAGCTGCAGTATTCACTGTGATAAAAAACATCCTAAAATGGGGCAAAATTCACCTACAAATGTCTCACTTAGCAACAGAAATGTTGGACTCAATTGTGGTGGTAAATCAAGAACTGCCTGTATTGGAAATACTTTTGCAATGTATGGTCTTCATTTTTTAGAATTCTTAACAATGGCCATGATGGTTGAAGAATTCTGGGAGTTGAAATCCACACGTTATAAAGTTGCCCAGGAAGCACTGTTATGACTACCCTTCAGCAATTCTTTGTCCTTAAAATAGCCTGGCTGAAGAGACATTAGGAAATGCTACAAAAACACACACACACAAACACACATTTATAAAATACAGATTAAATTAAAAAGTGCCAAAGTTTCTTCTCCATTGCTTTGACAAAATATGAAGAGATGTTATTATTTGGTGCCCTTTAGGATTGTTTCTCATTTGTAAGAGGCCATGTCATCAGTATCACTATTAAAGTGTGGGGCAACTAATAATAACAACCAGATTTAATTCTTAAGTAGGTGATTGATGTAGAGCCTTGATTTCATCTATTTAAAAAAAAATATGCTACACGAGTGCATTTTTCCATGATAAATATATAAGCAAGCTTTTCAAAATAATGTATATACAGTAATATGTAGTTTTAAATAAATTAAGGATAGGAACAGATGTTCTGTTAGTCAGGTATATGCCAACTTCTAGAAAGAGTGAGATCTTATTTTATATCAAAAGAAATGGATAAAATGAGGAAAACTGACTCCTTTCTAAAACCTTGACATGCCTTCTTTCCATATTCAGCCAGGCAGAGATATCCCACAATGAACCATCTCCTTGAACAACCTTAAAAGTCAAACTGATTAATTTTGTGGCGGCTAATGGCTCATTACTTTATGAAATTGCTCAATTTCTGAAGCATATGTTGGTATATTCTGAAATTACTCAGTATTTAGGAAGCACCTAGCTACTATTCTGGCACTGCTAGTTTGAGTTTTAACCCAAACAGAACCATTGCTGCTTTTAATATTAGGTTGACTTTAAAGAGACTTTGTTTCCCAAGTTAGAGTTCACAGCTGTGCTAAGAGCAATCCCATGACAGATATTCTGTCCCTCATCTTCAGAAGACATCTGTGGGCAATTGAAGGGAATTCTATATGTCATGACACTTCCCTGCAAATGCTTCATTTTTTTGGCTGATACTGGAAGCAATCTAGATTAGGGGGGAAAACACCAAAATAATGGACTGCAGAAAACTAGGGTCTACAGTGAGCTTTCTTCACTGTTTCTGTTCTTTCCCAGTTGACATAATAATATATGAAGAAAACAATATGAATCTGTTTGCTGTGCCCTTTTTTGCATTTATTATAGTCTGCAAAGGAATGTGTTTGAAATAGCTCTTAATGCTAGAAAGAAGCTAATTTCAAAGTATGCTGTCCCTACTCACAGTCACTCATGTGGCAGTCACTTCCATCTTGACCATTGCAACATGCTCTGCCCTTGAAAAGCATCCTGAAGCTCCAGTTGGTGCAAAATGCAGTGGCCCGCATGGTTTAGTGCAGACCCCAGTGTGCATATGTATCACCTCTCCGGTGGGAGCAGCGTTGGCTGCCGATATGCTTCTGGGTGCAATTCAAGGTGCTGGTTGCCATCTTTAAAGCCCTTCATGGCTTGGTTATCTGAGGGACCATCTCTTGCCGGTCACATCTACCCGACCCATCAAAGTGGAGACACAGGGGATGCTGTGGGTCCCGTCCCCTAGGGAGATACACCTGGTGGGACCAGAAGAAGGGCCTTCTCCATGGTGGCGCCCTCTCTCTGGAACATCATGCCACCAGAGATTAGAATGGCCAGCACTCTCAACGCTTTTCCGGAAGGCTCTGAAGGCCTGGGGAACCCAGAGTGGGATGTAGCCCATTAAATGCCTCATGTGATCTGTGCTGGAGTGGGGTGTAGAGGGGGAGGCTTGTTTTTATTATATTATATTAATTTATATTAGTTTTATTGTTTTAAATGAGGTTTTATATTCTGTAAGCCACCTTGAGTCTCCATGTGCGAATAGGCAGCGATATAAATTCAATAAATAAAATAAAATGCTCTCCCAATATGTACAGCAGAGTTTGATGATGTTAAACAATATTCTATTTAATTCTACTTATCATTAAAATAATAAAAGAATATATACATTATCTCTTATTTTCATGACTGATCATATTTGTCATATATTTAAATATTTTCTGATTTATTAAAAAGGCAGCTGAAAACTCTCCTGTTAGAGAGAAATCCTATTAAAAGGCTACCAGTGGAGCTTGGTAAGTACTCTGTCCCTTTAATAATATCTAACTAAACTTAGCATATATATATATATTCCTTTCAAGAAACTCCTCCTCGGGGTAAACAGGATGAGGCTAAGTTCAGAAAAACAGTTAGAACAAATGGCATTAATGACACGAGTTAAGAGAAAAGGAAAAGAAATATGCTGTAGCTTCATCTAGTTTACAACTACACTACACAATATTTTCCTATCCTTGCAAATCATTCTTGTTCTTAATCATACCCTTATACTACTTCACGTACTGCTTTTTCTTATTTAGGCCTCTCACATTTTTCTTTCTGAGGGTTTCATCAGTTGCATTCAGTCACAGATTTCTTGGTCTTTTCTTTCTTCTGAACCTTTTCACTATTCTTTCAAATATTTCTTTTGCATCTTTATCCTCATTCATTTTCGGTATGTGGCCAAATTGCCTCAGTGTGCTTACTTTGTACTGATATCCACTTCAATATTCAGTCTACGTAATTACTTCATTTTTGTTCTTATCTCTTTTTATTTCATTTTCTTTTTTTTAAACAAGGTTTTCCCCAAAGATGGATCATATGACTGGGGCTACTGCAATGGCCATAAGTGTGGAAACTGGTCATAAGTCACTTTTTTCAGTTCCATTGCAACTTTGAACAGTCATTAATCAAATGGTTGT